CCCCCCCCCAAATAAAACGAAGTCGAACCACCATGCAAGAAAAATCAACTTCGATTATTATCTATTAGTAGTAGTAGTAATAGTATTTGTATTATTATTATTATTATTATTATTATTACTACTAGTAGTACTATAGTATAATATATTATACTGTAATAATCATATAATAACAATTTATTATTATCCATTTTTTCTTGATTAAACCCGACGTCGGTTTGCAAGCCGAGAGTTTCGGAAACGGGTTTAGCGGGGAGAGAACTGGTTAATTTCACTTTCTGCGTTTATTCCTATCTGCCTCGCTCGTTTCGCTCGCTCCCTTCCCATTTCTTTCCTTCTCTTCCCAGGGTTTTTAGCCGCCTTGGATAAAATGGGAGATGGCTCTTTTTCGGTTGATTTATTTTTAATGTGCTCTCTTTTCAGTTTCCTGGTTTCGTTCTCCGGGAGAGGGGCGGGGAAGACTTTAATTCGATAAGATCAGAATCGAATATACTGGTCTGATATATATATATATATATATACCTTCCTTACAGGCGGAAACTTTGAACTCGGATGAATCATAGAAAGCATGACTGCAAAAGTCCCAGATTTTATTTACTGGATCATTGCACCGGTCAACCTTTTCTCCTTATCCAGGCTGATATTTTTTTTTAACCCCCTTTTCTTTTAAAAATTAAAGAATGAATCTGGGGGTACCACTCAAAAATTAAAATTATTCCGTTCCCATTTTTCTTTAACACTTTTTATTGGGAGGTAGAAAAATATTTTTTCCGTTTAGAAAAATAAAAATCTCAAGTTTAGCCGATTTTAATATTCATCTTCCGGGTTCCTTCTTTTTCACAAATATTTCTGGTCACCGTCTGTCTGCATGGTGAAAATAAATGGTGGGATTGGAAATCAGAGGTGAATAGTTTCTGGAGTCGTTTTGGAGTAAATGTGAACAAGATGAAACAAGGTTAAAAAAAAAAATCCTGCGTGGGTTTACCTGAGAATTGGTCCCATTGTATGTGGCGGAACTGAATGTTAGCTTTGTAGGCTCAATTTTTCTCCTATTGAAATCAGCGACACAGTGAAACTCCATGTGTGTTTGTTCCAAAGCAGTTGATTTCAGTAGGTTCTGTTGAAATTCAAGGTGTGTGTCTGTATATATACGCATTACACTTAAAATAGTTCAGCTCTGATTGGACCATACATTTTAATTTGGGATTTCTTTGCTCTGAATGTGTGGCATGAAAAACTTGGTTATTATTAAGTTGTTGTTGTCATTGACAATTATTTTTGTTCACTTTTAGCTGCTTATCTAGAAAACAAGGATAAATCAAAAGCTCAGCCTTCCATATGGCCACGGATGGCAGGGTCATGCCAGGGGTGAAGAGGCAATGGGCGTGCCTAACAGGTTCGCCGCAACATGTGAACGGCTGCCAAGCTACTTTTAAAGGTTGTGTACTGACTTTACGTTCATCTTGGAAGCCACTCGGAAAAAATACTTCCTTGAAAGCAAATTGAGCTGCAGGACTAGGAAATCAAATGCTACATGCTGAGCAGCAATCTTTTAAACTGATGAATGTAATATATGGGAATACATATATAGGTATAATATGCAACGTACAACAGGGCTCGCCAACCTTGGCGACTTTACGACTTGTGGACTTCAACTCCCAGAATTCCTCAGCCAGCTCGGAGGAACATATAATATATAACATATTATGTTATTTATATAAGGTAGGTAGGTAGGTAGGTAGATAGATAGATAGATAGATAGATAGATAGATAGATAGATAGATAGATAGATATAAATTAGAGAGATAGAGATGGAGAATATATATTTCAATTCCTCAGCCAGCTAGGAAGAACATATAATACGTAACAAATTATGTTATTTATATTAGAGAGAGAGAGACAGAGAGACAGAGATAGATAGATAGAGATAGACAGAGATAGATAGACAGAGATAGATAGATAGATAGATAGATAGATAGATAGATAGATAGATAGA